TCTTTTACACATATATAATATAAAAAAATGTAACGCACAAAATAATACCTTGTATGTGATACGGGATTCAAAGATAAAGTATTGTTTTCAATTAATAAACTATTATTAAAATTATCTTTTGCAAGCGTTTTATCCATTGGTATGTTCTCAACTTCTTGTAAAATTTTTCGAGGGAAGGAATTACTATAAAACAAATTAATATATAAGTTGAAAATATTACTTCTGAATTTATCACGTGATTGGACAGTTATAACAATTGTTAATATGAAAACTATACCTTTTAATGGTTTTTTATTTATATTATTATTTATCTTTACTTTTTCTTGGTTAAAAAATTTAGGGAGCTCTAATTTTTGTCTTTTATGTCTACCTATTTGTTCGCATTTTCTGTTTATAGTATCTATAAACTGTGACCACGACAGGTTACTAGCTGGGAAGTTGCGCGTGACAAAATCTATTTTAACAGATATAGAAATAAAATGATATAAGCTGATAAAATGTAAATTAGTTTCTTACAATATCACAGTAAATGATTTTTTATATTAATCAATGATTTAACAAAGCCAAAATAATAAGAAAAAATTAATTGTTTTATAGATTGTTTTAATACAGTTTACAACAATAATTACAATAATAAGCCTGATTATGACCAGTATATTACACAAGTTATTTAAAAAGTAAAATTAATTAATATTTAGTAATTTATTTAAAAACTAATAAAATCTTGGATGAATCTTTGCTATTATTTTTTATTAAATTTACAATATAACAGAATTTATTAATATACATTGGTATAATACAGCTTTAAAAGCAAATGAATAACGTAATCTTAAAAGTAAATTGTACAAATAAAATTTATTCAAAGTAGATGACAAAACTAATCTCATGTATAATAAATAGATTTAAATAAATTTATATAAAGTGCGACCGCACGCGTAGGTGCGAGGCAATCTTGTCGGGAGTTCGCACGACCGGGTTGAGCAGAGTTTCGCGTCCCGATCGAGATACAGGTGATTTAGACGTTAACGTAATCGTCTCCGCGGATGTAAGCGGATTTTGGGCGCCAGGCCCGCGTGAGCGAACCAAATTTTGATAGTATTCGAGCTATCTCTGATCTTCGACGCACAGCCCGATAGTTAGATTCGACGTAAGTTAAATTCTCGCGAAAGATCCGGACGGGCGAGCAACGACGGCGCGGAAGGCCGGCTAACCAGCTCCGACAAAGGTAGAGGGGCGGTTCGTTAAATGCGAGGCTTAGGAGAGCGACAAGGAGGAAAAATAATTGCTCCGGAAATTAATGTGAAATAAGAGGCGTGTATTTTCGATGGTCTCGCAGGGCGAGTGAATTACAGCGGCGAGTACCTCGCGTGGTACTCGCGAGACGCGCGGGACGGAGCGCGTATTCCGGCGCCGATCCTTGGCGGACTAACGCCACGCCAGGAAGCTCGTACAAATTACGGACGCTCGCGGGTGAGATAAGCGACACGGGTGTGTGTCGGATAGCGGACCGGGACGACGCGAATCGAACGACTTTCTTTAAGCAAGCTCGCAATGCTTCGCGGTGGAACGGCGGTACGCCGGGCGGGATTACTCCGCGGCACTCAAATAGTCCCCTCGTGCACGAGGCCGAGGACCTGCACTCGCGTCGCGTTGGCGTTATACAGGGCGCGATTATCGTTCGATTCCGTCTCCCCGTCGGAAATTACAAGTCAAAATACTTGTCCGAGGCAATCCTGACACCCGAGGTACGGCGGGCGCGAGGACGGTGATCGGCGCGCGGGCGCACGCGGTTCACGCGCTCGCGGCGTGCATCGGCGCGTGGCCCGAGATCTGCGGCGAAGCCCGTTTATCGCGACACAAGAAAGTTAACGCTCTCGACACCGAATATAATTCACGATACACGGAGACTCTAATAAATCCGACACACAGAATTGGCAAAACGAACGCTCTCGCGACTTACAGTTACACGACACAAACACGCGGTGACTCGGCCGGGCGAGGGCGAACGCAAAGGCGACAATCGTAATGACTCGAAATCAGCGCAATCGAGCGGGCGGTGTGCTCTCGGATTCGCGCTACAAGTAACTCGGGGCTCTATTTTACACGGCGCTTACGGCCGTCAGGCAGAAGGACTCGATACTCTCACACGGCCCTCTCGTCTCGCGGAACTGGCGACTTTACAAATTAGCGACGTTCGTCTCACCGAATGCTCTCCTGCTCCTCACTCCTCTCGCCTCTCGAAACACAACTTTGGTCCTCTCGACCCTAGGCTCGGCGGTGGATCCTGCGTCCCTTACAACAATTCGTCAGGTCGCTCTGACTGTCACGGCACGAGTGTCGGTCCTTCGTAGCGCCGGGAGCACGTTGGTAGCGGGGCCATCTGCCGGTTTCCGCTATCTCTTCCTGTCACGTGAGTCCCTCTTTCGCGACCCCCTGCGCCGCAGGAGGGTAGCGTCAGTCGCGGGCCCCGTGATAACGGGCGCGAAGTTTTAAAGTTGACTTGCTGGGAGGGTTTCTGGCCCTCGATACGTGGAGCGAGCCCCCGTGTCAGCTCTCCTGCGCCCTTACTCTATCGGGGCCTCCTGGCAGGGCCGTCGGCTCGCTCCGAAAACTCTGCAAAAGATAACAGTAGTAAGAGGGCTCCGTGAAGGAAGAAAGAAAGAAAGCGTAATTACGTGACCTGTGCTCCCGTCTTGCTCTGAGTATGCCTCGATAGTCTCTCTTCCTTGGAGTCCTGGTTGCGGGGAGCCGGTGAGACGACGCTTTACTACCATCTTCTCAGTCGAACAGTCGCCATTCCTTGCTTATTTCGGTCGGTGCAAGGCCTACGGTTCTAATCCTACTACAAAAGTTAGTCGCGAAACCTGGCCAAATCGTAGATGCGCTCGCCCTCGAAAATCGGAGGACGCAGGATCCACTTAGCCGGTACGGTCGGGCTAATGAGCCCTTGTGACGGACGTTGTCGCAAAACGTCCCGTCACAAAAGCAACAATGCACTGACAACAATTTGTAATTCTTTGTTTTTCATTAGAAACATTTAATTATGAAGAAAAAATAATACTCACAATATAATGCTTGAAAAATGTGTTTTCGAATGCCTTTTTTACCGTGGGATCCACAAGCAGAAGCTTCTGAAAGCTGTGCTCTTCCAAACATTTCAATTAAAGCTTGACGTATCATTGCTTTTGGACCAAGTAATGTGTCATCACCTTTTTTCTTTCTATTTCCACTGGCACTCTGAGCTGCTGCAGCTTCTAAAGTAATTCTGGATCGTGCAGCCTTAGATATATACACACCAGATCCTTTCTGGAGGGAACTCTTTAAAAAATGATTATAATAAAGCCATGTTAAAATTTGATTAAAGCATGTAAAATATCTTATTTAAGTTGCTATACCTTAGCATGTTCAGATGGAATAGGTAGCAAATCTATAAACATTGACTTGGATAATGAGTCATCATAGGAATCATTCTGTAGAAAAATCAGATTCAGATTTATCAATATATGAACGTTGCAAGTATTTTCTTTTAAATACTCAATAATCGCGATAAATATTAAATATATATCAGTATACCTTGCTTTCAGTACGACCACCTCCAAGATATATAGTTAAGTCACGTAGCATACTAATACAGACAGGATTTCCTAAAGTAGAATAAAAAGTTGTGGAGTTCAATAAAAAATTAAATTACATATTTGTTGATAAAATGTTAGAATAAAAGAAAGTGAAATAGAAATGTATAATTCTGCGCAATTAACATACACCCTATGCACATTAAGTGTGTATTTAATAAAAATAGAATACTAACAATAAGTAGAGAATTACCTTTACTTATTGAAAAAAAAATAAAGTATGTGGGATCTATTGTACGCTTAGTTTCATTTCCTGAAATTTTTGTTTGAAAATAAATGTAAAAAAATAAAATCTATAAAAATGTAATAAATAAAATAATAATATTGAATGATATTAAAATATATTAAGTAAAATAAATGTATTGCATGAATTTATAAGTTGATATCAAGCTCCTTAACTGTAAGACTTTAATTTGTATTGTAAAGAACAATTTTTACAATTATTTCAATTTATAAAATAAAATCACCAGACATACAAAAAATGTTATAAAAGATTAAAGTTTATAACAATCTGATCTGAAATTTTCATTAATAAAATATATTATTATGGAAAGCATACCACGATACTGCTTTAAAAATGCAATTCCACCAAAATTGCTATTCAACCAAGAATGTTTATGTAATATTGCTTCTTCCTCCTTTGCCTTCATTTTTTCATTAAGTTCTTTGTCTGCATCCTTATGATGGTCATCTTCATGATCAATATCATCTATATCTTCATCTTGATTTTCATCTTCCTCACTTGTAGATTGAATCATATTTTCTATAATAGTACTGCTTTCGCTTTTAGAATCAACCTCATCATTCGATTTCTCCATAAATTCACTTTGTAAAGCTGCTTGGGAAAGAGATATTTTTTGTCTCGTTTCTGTTGCCTTTTTTAATAGAATAAATTCTTTTTTTGCTATCTATAACATCTTTAGACTTTCTTTCGGGAAAAAGAAGATTGTCTAATTCGACTTGAGCTTGATTACAAGACTTAAGATTCTCTCTCGAATTTTTCATCTCATTTCTCTTTATCTCGTGTAATTTGGGAGGCAATTTGGATTTTTTTCCAATGGCAACAGCAACTTCATGCTCAGAAGCAGTAGAGCCAAATGATTTTTTTGGCTTAATTATTCTTTTTCTACAATTACTTTTGCTCTTTAATTTATCATCCATTTCTTCAAAAAATTGGTCTTCAGCTTCTTTGAGAACCTCTTGATTACCTATCAAATAAACATTTAATAACACTAAGAAAATAAAAAAAACAGCCATATATTTTTAAAAATAATAAAAAGCATATATATAACTCAAAAGATTAGAAGTATACACATATATGTCAAATAGAAAACGTAAGGAGGAATTTTATCATATATATGTTACATCATATTAAACGCACATTGATTAAAAATTATTATAAAATTCTTTAAATATGTTATATATATATAAAGAAATAAAGATCCAAATAATGCAATACGTATAATATGTTTATAACAATTTGAAACTTATATATGTGGAGGAGATGAGAGGTTAAAATATAACCTTATGCAACAATTAAAAAAATACTTATAGGTTACTTATAGGATTCGTTTATGCAGTCACTGTCGCAGATATATCATTTTGTTCTTGTTCAGTATTCGATGAACAAGATAAAATAATTTGCAGCAGTGTTTGCACAAACAATTGCACCTCTACATTCTGAATCAATGAACTCATGTACATACATATTTATCGTGCTGTGCGCAATGTGTTTACAAATTAGTGTCATTTTTTTAATATAAAGCAATGCAAAATAAAATACAGGTATAGATGTATAAAAAATACGTATCGTATTCATAAAAATTTACGACTGATTTCCAAAATGCGAGCTGGAAATGTCTGTTTGCCAAACTTAACCTGAGACACGCATCCAATATGACGATCCTCTTCATTTACGTCACTTATTTTTACAATAGAGGTACGCTGCTCTTTTATCCACCACACTAACACCATTTCATCATTTATGCTCATTTTTAGCATAAATGCTTTTCTTCCGATCACAAAACTGAGCTAAAAACTGCTCTCAGTGCTATCCAGAAATAGCGGGATTTGTAAAGAAACAAGGCGAGTAAAGGCGCGCTGTGCGCGGAAAATCCCCTTTCTCCACAGCAATATACTGCTCGTGTAGCTTGCCATTGGCAGCGAGTGACGCATGCTTTCTTCACTCGTATGCGCAAACCAATAACTTTTTCTTGCTAGATAAAGTTACCAAATTGTTTTTCATTGCAGTAGTGTATATGAAACTAATAAAGCTCTGATAATAAGTATATATTAGTACGCGGCTTTTTTTTTATGTACATATTCTCTTCATATAGGTTCTCTATATAGGTTTGTTATACATCATAAATTCCTGGATAAATGGACAAATTTTAAAGTAAATCTTATGAAAATAATTCTCTCGCAGGTTTTTCACATTTATACCTTGCAAGCCGATTATTAGCAGCTCAATTTTTATTTCTCTTTAAAAACAAATAATGAATAACGTGTCTCAATCCAAGGAATTACAATTGCGCTTTAGAATTAAAAAAAACGTCGCGTGAAGTATCGGAAGGTTATTATTGGTGGCTTAACCTCATCATCATCTGATTCATCATCTTCGAGTCAAGATCATGTTTCTCTCAGTAAAATTCAGAGACGAGATGAACGTGATTCTTTGAATTTAATTATAAAAGGTAAGTCTAAACATCGAGCTTGTAGTTGTAAACATCAATAATATAGTTAGTTGCCAATTATGTTTTAGTACTATATCGCTTTATTACGTTCTTGTACATGATCATAATTTAATGCTTTTAATTATTATTTACCATCAACATCTTTAGAATCATCTGATGATGGCAATTCCACGACAGATCACTCAAGTCGATGTGAAATGGGCATTGAGCCTTTAACTGAAGACCTTTGTGAGTATTCTAATAATTTTTCTATCTTTCTACATTGATGACAAGCAAGCTTTTTTTCATTAATGCATATCGATTTAATTGCATATTTAAAATAAGATTATTTTATATAATTTTTATTGCTGCTTTTTATAAATATTATATAAACATATTGGCAATTTTAATTTTTCGATAAATATGACAAGTTTTTTCATTCTACTTACATTATATATACCTAATACTGTAATGTATGTTATATATACAATAATAAAATATTGAAGTTACTATGCCATATATACATATATGTATATCCTAGACTTATCATAACTTACCCTTAATGATTCATTTGTGAGATTATTTCGAGATAAAAATCTTAAAATATCAAGGTTACAATAATTTTTAAATGAGGAAGTTTAACTATAAGTAACATTATCTTGAATTTGCGCGCTCTGCAAGGTACAGCAGTGAAAATGTTTTGAAACATGAATCTTATTTTTCATATTATATAATTACTATTAAACGATGTGCCATATCTATGCGTGCGAAAACTTGATTAATTAACTTCGAATTTTTCTAAGTAAAAAGTCGCCTTGATTTTAGTACTAAGATTTTTGTCTTAAAATGATCTTAGAAATCTATCACATTAACGGATGTTATGGTAAATCTGAAGGGATACTCTGTATATTTTTATTTTAATTAATCTTAAGTTATATGTATAAAATATCTTGAAAAAAATAATGTAACATTTTTTTAATAAAAAATGAATACATATATTGTGTGTGAGAGACGTTTCTGCAACAAAATTTAATTAAAGTATAAATATTCCATAAAATGTTTGATTATATCATAATCTATGTGTAGATGATGATCCTGAAAAAGATGATAATGACATTCCTTTGAATACACCAAAAAGATATTCTTCCGATACTGATGAAGAAGATACAACATATGTCAACGAAGATGAATCTGAGACTGAAACTCAAGATGAAATAAATGATGATTTTGATAATGTAAGAAGCACTGACAGTAACGTTAGTGATGACGAAGATGAACCTAAACCTGAACAAAATGATCTTTTGTATCCTGGTGCTCCAATAACTGTAGCAGAGAGTCTTCTTGCTATATTGACTGTAGCTCTCACGCATTCTCTTACTGGAGAATGTCTGAGTTCCATACTACAACTAATTGCATTACATTGCATTGGTAATATCAAAATTAATACTCTTTACAAATTTAAGAAGTATTTTCAAGATATTGGGAAGCATATTCTTATACTTCATTATTATTGTTTGAACTATTTTGTGCCATTAGCAACAAAAAACTCTGTAAATACTGTCAAAGCAAAAATGACAACAGCTTCTTTATTGAATTGCCTCTTATGAATCAATTACAGGCTATGTTTTTGCGACCTGATTTTGTAGAAAAATTACAATTCAGATTTCATAGAGTGAAAAAGGTATTAAATAATATAGAAGATATATATGATGGTCGAGTATATAAACGTTTTTTTGGCAATGGAGGTTTCTTGGATGGGAAATATAATATTTCGTTTATGTGGTACAGTGATGGAATTTCTATCTTCCGTTCATCCCATTTCTGAATTTGGCCCATGTACTTAGTTATTAACGAACTTCCATATAAAGAAAGAATCAAAAAAGAAAATATTATTCTGGCTGGTTTGTTTTTCGGGAATTCTAAGCCGTATCCCAATCTTTTTCTTGCACCTATTCACACACACCTTCAAAAATTCTTTACTGATGGATATTTGCTTAAAACGTATAATGAAGACCAAATACAAGTTTATGGAAAAGTATTATGTGGGACTTGTGATCTGCAGGCTAAAGGATTATTCATGAGATTTAAGCTTTATAACGGATACTATGGATGCAGTCGTTGCAAAATTAGGGGTACTAGGTACAAAGTGGGAAAATCGACTGTGCAAGTTTATCCTTATGATGAACGTATGCATCTTCGCACTCAAGAGGAAGTACAAAACGATGCAAAAGCTTCTATTGAATTAGGTAAATCTGTAAAAGGTGTCAAAGGACCATCGCTTTTTTCCAATATAATGCCTGACATGATTTCAGGGATGGGAATTGATATTATGCATGGTATATTTTTAGGTTTGACAAAATTGTTATTGAGATTATGGTTTGATCCTACATTGGCTAATGAACCCTATTCATTGTCTGGTGTGCTACACGTTATTGATGCTGATCTTAGGAATATGCAACCACCAAGTTTTGTACAGCGAATGCCACGTGCAATTAAAACTTATTTATCTTTGTGGAAAGCCCAAGAATATAAATTGTGGCTTATCTATTATTCCGTGCCTATTCTTCTTGGAGTCATGAATCAGGAATATTTTGATCATCACCTTCAGTTATTATCTGCTGTGTACCTCTTAAGCCGAGACAGTATTTCTTTCGATCAAATTGAAGTAGCAAGAAATCATTTGCGATCATATATTTCAAAATTTGCTGACTTCTACGGTGTCAGGAATATGAGTATGAACGTTCATCAACTCTTACATCTTCCTGATGTTGTTTTAGATTTAGGGCCTTTATGGGTATATTCTTGTTTCTTTTTAGAAGATTTAAATGGCAAACTGAGTAAATTGATTCATGGATCTCGTCATGCAGGACTACAAGTTTGTTCAGGAGCATCAATTTATATGAATTTGTACGTTCTGATTGGAACACTACCTGTTGATTCTACCGTGAGAAAGTTCTGTGATCAGCTCAGATGTAATAAAAAGAAAAGTAGAATTGTTGAAATTATTGATCCAAAGACTTATGTACTTGGAAGTTTGCAACATTTAGATGAAGTATCATTTAATATTCGTGCTGTTCTTGCAAAGAGTTTAGATATTAAAAATGGCAACATCCAAGTTTTTTATCGGCTTGAAAGAAAAGGTGTCCTCTTCTCTAGTGCAAAGTATAGTCGATCTAATAAAAAAGTATCTCATTATGTATCATATACTCATGGTAATACATCACAGATTTGTATGATTGATCAATTTATAAGATGGTCTGACTGTAATTGTAATCGCCAATGTAGATGTTTGCCTGCAAGATTTATTTGCATTGGAATCCTATCTAAAAAAAGGCATGTTAAGTCGAACTCGAAATGTATCGTTGTTCTCGAAATTATTGTTGACTCTTTTCCGCGACGCTTATTGGTTCTCTCGCTGCGCTAACTTCGTG